TAAACTTTAAACCCTAAACCCTGAAAGGTCGAAAGGTCTTGGCACTGAACAGCAGTTGAACCCTGAGACTCCAAGTGCACAAATTGCACCTGTTGAGGGCTGGCTATGTGCAGTCCTAGGGTTTAGGGTTTAGGGTTTAGGGTTTCTGGTTTAGGGTTTAGGGTTTAGGAAAGTATTGAAACCGCAAGAACGAAGGGACGAAGGGAAACCGCTGCATGATCAGCAGCGACGGATGGATTCCATTAACATCTTGCCAGCCTTTGCCAATCTTGCATGACTGTGGGCCTAAGAGCACACCAGTCGAGGGGCGAAGATTGACCTAATTGTCCAGTACAGTACCTGAAGAAACCAAAAGCTGAACTTTGGGATTATATGGGTGATATAAAAAACCCCACAAAAGTTAAAGGCTACCTGCTCTACTACTAACCCTAAACCCTAAACCCCAGATCTTTTGTTGTGAAGGAGCTGGCACACAAACCCCAGAAGTCTTTCAAAGGCCCTCACAATCAACCCCGACAGGCTTTTGAGCACCATCACACAAAGCACGAAAGCATCCTAAACCCCTCAAATCCCCCTAAACCCTAAACCCTAAACCCTAAATCCGTTTAGGGTTTAGGGTTTAGGGCCGAGCTCCCTATATAAGCTTCAAACCCCGAAGGCCGTGTTGTGAAAGACCCAGGAATCCTCTCTCCAAAGAATCTTTTCACCCTAAAGCCTCAACCTAAACGCCTAGACGCCTAAAGGTTCCCGACCGTTTTGGGTTTAGGGTTTAGGGTAACCCTAAAACCTACGGTTTGGGGGTTTTAGGGTTAAAAAACCCGATAAACCTAACCTTAGAACAGCCTTACACCCATGCCTAATACCCTAAACCCTGATACCCTAAACCCTGGACCCCTAAACCCTAAGCCCCGATGCCCTAAACCCTAAGCCCAATGCCCAGCGCTAAACCCTAAAAAAACAAAGCTGCTGGGTTCCCTGGCTCACAGCCCTCGAGATCTCCGATCTGAAGTTGGTTCTCTGCCTCGAGGGTCTTATAAGTTCCAGGGTTTACGGTTTAGGGTTTAGGATAGTATGGTCATAGGTAGGATAGCCTTACCTGGGGCGCTTGTATAAAAACCCTCAGCCCTAAAACCCTAAACCCTAAAACCCTAGATGCCGAAGCCCTAGATCCTAGAACCCTAAACCCTAAACTCTAAAACCCTAAAGCCCAAAACCCTGAAACCCTAAAGCCCGAAACCCTAGGAGCTCCAAATAGGAACCGATGTACTAAGCCCCCTAAACCCTAAACCCTAAACCCTAAACCCTAAGCCCCCTGAGCCCTTAAGCAGGGTTGGCAAGTTTAGCTTTCAGGTTCGGGGTTCCTGAAATTAAGGGCGCCTTTTAAGGGCTGCGGTATTGCGAAAGTATATATATATATATGTATACACATCTGAATATGTTTTCATATACATATATATATATATATGTGATATTATATTATATTTATTTATGTATGTCCATTATTGTCCACTAACTTATAGAACTAGGTGTATATGTAAACTTATATATTGGTTTCAGCTGCTGTTTTTCCTTTGAAGCATGCGTTGTTGTCAGGGGCTGTGGTTGCTCATGTGTTCCACAAGGCCCGATCGGCTTCTCTGGCGATGTTTGCAGAACATTTGGCGGTTCAGGCCTTTAGTAACTTAGGGGTTTAAGGCTTTAGGTTATAGGGTATAAACTGCCTAGGGACAACGGCATAGGATGTTCGTGGGCATTTTGTTGCATCTGCTTCGCAGGTGGTGTACACTTGATATTTGGTTTGCCTTTTGTTTGCCCTTCTACAGTATCAGTACACTGCTTCCCCTAAACAAACTCTAAACACTAAACTCTCTAAACCCTACTTGAAGGCTCAAGGGACTTCGTGAGTAAGTTATGACAGGTAAGGTTATAAGTAGGATAAGCCCACTTAGGGGACGTAGAACCAAAATCATGGCCCTTTAGTAAGCCCTTTGCCCTTTCCCCTACACCCCTGAACCCCAAAGCCTAAACCCAAAATAAACTCAACTAAGCCCCATAAGCCCTGAACCCTAAAATCATTCTAATGTAGGGGCCTTAGATTGAATAATTAGAATAGGGTTTTGGGGCCCTTTATACCATAGTTATAATAAGGAGCCCCCAGAACAATAGAGGTAACTATTGAGGCCTCTAAATTAACTCAAAAGCAGCATGCCATCGGCTGTAGTCGGGGCATCAATACTTAGGATAGGGCTTGCGCGTCCTTTAAATGCAGTTATTTCAAGAAAATTTAGATACTGAAAATGGATACTCTTACCGATCTTACCGATGAGTCCTAGGGTCACGGCTGTGAAGTTCGGGGGCTGAGCTACAATGGAAGCACTGACTAATAAGAAAACCGTGCAGCGTATCAGGAAGTCATGTGAGAGCAGTGAACCCCTTAACCCTAAACCCTACACCCAAAACCCTAAATCGGTCGGGAATTCGGTTGGGAAAGCCCTGAAGTCAATTCCCCGACCCATCAACCAGAAACCCTGAACATCTAAAGCCCTTAACCACAAAATCCGCATCGAAGCAGTAATTATCAAAGCCCTATGAAGACCCCATCAATTCCGATCAAGTATATGTGTATATATATATATACACACAAACAAGCAGCTCAAACTTAAAACCCCAACGCCTATGTAAAACACTTACCCTACGTAGCCCTAAACACCTAAACTCTAAGCTCTCCCAAACCCTTAAGGACGAAAAGAGCCCTAAAAGGGTTTAGGGCTCATATACCATATAGGGATTCCTAGTACAAGGGTATAGGGCCCCTACTTTTAAGGTTCTTTTCGTCCTTATGGACCCTACTACACCCCCAAACTCCTAAACCCTAAACACAAAACCCCAAACTCCTAAACCCTAAACACAAAACCCCAAAACCCTAAACCCTAAACCCCTAAACCCTAAACCCTAAACTCCAAACCCCTAAAGCCTAAACCCTACTACACCCCCCAAACTCGGCAGCTCAGTGCCACGCACTATCCCAAGCGAGGTTGGCCAGCGCAGCCAATCCGTGCCTCGCATCTTCCATTCCACAGGGTTTAGGGGTTAGGGTTTAGGGTTTAGGGTTTTGGGTTTTTGGGTTTTGGGTTTTAGGGTTTAGGGTTTAGGGTTCAGGGTTCAGGGTTCAGGGTTTAGGGTTTAGGGGTTTGGGTTTAACACCGAACCCCGTTCTCCAAAGGGGCCTGTAATCAATAATTTAGGGTTTAGGGTTTAGGGATTCGAGCGGGTCATGTTAAGTTCCATAAAGCCTTAAATTATAAGGCTTCTTGCAAGGTGTTCTGATAGATACTCAGAGCAAGCATTTGTTCGGGGTTATTACGGCTTTGTCATTAGAAACACAAGAACTATCCGTGGATATTGGTACTAAGAACTAATGAGTTCGAACCTCAATAGTGCGGCCAGTGGCCGCGGGATGTGCCGTGATGACAACAGGCTAGAGAGGATTGGAGGCTGGGCGTTTTGTGATGATGACAGGGTGTCAGGTTCGGTGTTTCCTGATGAGGAAAGTTTAGATAAGGTGCTAGCGTGATTACTACTATCAAGACAGTTTAACATGACTATGTAATTCTCAATCATGTATCCGTGTGTTGGTCTTGCGACTTTGAATGACAACAAGTGCATGTGCAATCCGGTTACTGGCCATTAGGCCTTGAAGCGGCCTAAACCCTAGACCCTAAACCAGCTTGAAGCGTCGATCTGGGCTTCAGCGTTGGAATTAGGTTGACGAGCCTCTGTACTCGCATGAAAGGGCACGCTGTGGGCATTGTGTTCTGGTATAGAGTTCGGGGATCCGACACAGCAGGGGGGTTTAGGGTTCCTTTTACTTCGAGGGTCGGGGGACATAGTAACTAGTTATCTAATGGACTTATAAGTACCATAACCCCAATTAGGATCCCCTTTAAGGGTACTTGTAACTCTACTTCATATCTACTTACTCTGACCCTCCAAGTAAGGGTATCGCCGAGTTCTGTAGCCAATCCAGATCTTACAGCAGCGTTTCGTCCAGCTTGCCCCAAAAACTCCAGTAGCCCTTGTGTGTCGATGATTGAGACCGAGGACCAGCAGCCAAAACGATGAAACCGTGCTTTGGGATCTATCTTTTTGGGTTAAGGGTTTTTTTTTTTAAGAGTTCAGGGTTTAGGATTTAGAAGCCTTAACATTCATTCGAATCCCCATTACTAGGGGAAGGGTGTATTAACCAGACGCCTGCAGAAACTCAAAACGTCTATATAACTATATTACCGGACACCCTAAAGCCTAAACCCTAAACCTACAACCTTAAAGCCGACGCCCTTCAACCCTCAACCATACGGGGTACAAAGCAATTCGTATGGAACAGATGGGGCCCTAATTTGGGTTTAGGCTTTAGGGTTTAGGGTTTAGGGGCCAGGGTTGGTATGGAAAAGATGGAACGCCAAATCAGTAGCGAATTTCATCCCGCTGCTCTGGTTGCCATCCTGAGAGACACAGGGTAGGCTGAAGTGTACCGATGTGAAAACTCCTCTGCCTCTGAACTGCTCTTAGGCCTCTAATTATATCCTCAGAGAGCCCAATGCCCCTTAATTAACGAATATAGCTTAAACCATAATTTAAAGCGCCTTGCTATTATATAAGGTGTGTTCCTTGGGCAAGTAGAGTCGAAGGCTTAGGGTGGAGGTTTTGAAGGGTTTAGGGTTTTTGGGTTTAGGGTTTAGGGGTTTAGGGTGTAGGGTTTGGGGAATCAGGGTTTAGGGTTGGGTTCCCCAGGAGCAACGCAAAGCCGTGCGCACAAAAAGTCGACATCGAGATGACAGGGGAGTGAATAACCCAAATCAGATGCAAACCGAAATGCCCTAAACCATAAACCCTAAACCTTAAACCCTAAACCCTAAACCTTAAACCCTAAACCTTAAGCCTTAAATTAAGGCCTAAACCTTGAACCCCAAATCCTAAACCCTAAACCCAATCATAGAGGAACCTAGCAGTCCACTAACGACTGCACCACCCTCAGCCGTCGTAACCCGGCGCAGGTGAGAGCCATGAAACATTGGGTTTGAAGCCCCGCAAATGGTTGAAATGATCCTAAACCCTAAACCCTAAACCCCAAGCCCCTAAACCCTAAACCCTAAACCCCAAGCCCTAAACACGAAACCCTAAACCCTAAATTTCGGATGTTGGGGATACTGGGCTTTTGGGCTCAGGGAGATCAGGGTCTAAAGTTTAGGGCAGCCTGGGGGTTTAGCGATCTAGGCCTAGGGCTATGGCAGGGCTTGTATACATATCTACATATATATATATATATATATATATAGGGTTTAGGGGTTTAGGGTTTAGGGTTTGAGGGTTTAGGGTTTAGGATATAGAGATATGACACAGACACCCACACAGCCAAACCCCAAACCCTAGCCCTTAACAACCCTAAACCCCTAAACCCTAAACCCCTAAGCCCTCAAACCCCTAAACCCTAAAAGCCCCAAACCTTCGGAAAATGGGCCGTCGATTTCCGAGGTTGCTGCTCTTGGATATCCTCGTAGTCCTTGAAGTCTGCAATCGCTTGACAGACCTCACTAGGCTGGGTTCAGGGCAGCAGGCCACTGTCTGTACAGGGTTAGGGACGAGCAGTTTGACATATTTGCGACTCAGCTGTTTTGCTAGGCCAATGAGCAAACAAACCTCCGCAACACTCTAAGCATCCTTCAACCGTTGACCCTTAATACAATCCCTCAAGGTCTAAAGGCTGCCATCTGCAATGCCAACACCTACATCGCAAGCTAAGCCAGCACTGTACGAGTGCCGGTTCGGGAGTCCTGGAGCTAGAACGTGAAGTTCAGAGCTCTGGCCCAGAGAGCCCAATACCCCTTAATTACGCAACATACCTCAAATTATGATTTAAGGCATATTCCTTAATTAAGTGGTATTGGGCTCTCTGAGGGGGTGGCTGGCCTGCTGCGGATTTCCAGCAGCGCGGCCGCAAGCTGCGGGTCCGCCTGACGGCTGCGGCCTTGCGCCGGAACACGTTCATGTCCTTCCAATGGACAATTCCCGGGGTGTGCCCGAGGTGGAGGTAAAGTGCGTACCCTGGTTCACCATAGACGAGATCTTGGTCGACAGCATCAAGTAAGTTGGCACCCGTCGCCGTATTCTTAGACGGCGCTTCACACCGACTCTATCGTCGGGATACCTCTGCTCATCGGCAGGAAAGTTCCAGCAGTTCTGTCACCAATGTAGGGGCCTAAATAATTACCAACACTATTTTTGGGGGCTCCATATCATAATTCTAGTATAATGGGCCCCAAAACCCTATTCGAATTATTAAGGCCCCTATGCTATCCCAAGCGTCACAGTTCCATATGAGTCGCCTGCTGCCTGCTAAAACCCCTAAAGCCTGAACCCGACACCCTAAACCCTACACCCTAAACCTCAAATGTTAAGCCCTAAGCCCTAAGATTTAAACCCTAAACCATAAAATGTTAAACCCTAAACCCTAAACCCTAATCTTCAAACCCTAAACCCTAAATTTCCAACCCTCATCCCTAAACCCTAAAACCTAAACCCTGAACCCTAAGCTGACCCCCTAGGTCCGGGACACTTCTGCTTTAGGCGCTCGGGTACAACAACTCACGAGTCTATCAACCTGGTAACCCCAACCACTGCTTCAGGTTTAGGGTTAAGGCTTTAAGGGTTTAGGGTTTAGGAGAGGGTTTAGGGGTTTAGGGTTAGTTTAGGGTTTTAGGGTTTAGGGATTTAGGGTTTAGAGTTTAGGGCTGGGGTTTAGGGTTTGGGGTTTGGTAGCCCCTTAGTAGTGAGGGTCCTACTATTCGGAGTTAAGACGGGGACCCAACAAGAAAAAGTTCCAAAGGGTACTACCGGGAAACCTAGACCCACAGGTATCCCCCAGATATCTTCAAAACAATCAAAGGCAACCTCCCAATGGTCCCCGCTTCTCTCCTTTGACCCTAAACCCTAAGCAGCCCTTGCCGTTCATGCTTTTCCCCCTCCAGAACCCAAACCCTCGGAAACCCAAATCCCTCAAACCCTAAACCCTACTCAAGGGTTTAGGGCTTAGGGTGTTTTTAGGCCCCAAATTCCTCAAACCCCAATGTCTAGATCCTGAACCCTACTAAAGGGCTCAAAGGGGGCTAGAAAGTCGGGTCAAAATTGGGGCTCGGCTATAAGTACACCAATTTAGGGTTATCCGAATTAGATCCTTACTTATTATACATAATATTCCCCATTAGTCCTTAAGCTGTTTTCGAGAAGCATAGTGGGTTTATTGAGCGAGGCTGCATTCAGAGGTTTTCACAGGTGGGGTTTAGGGTTT